GAAATTAAAAAAAAATCTAATATAATTGAAATTTTTTCGCAGTAGTTTAAGAAGATTTGTAATATGTATACAAGATTGGGAAAAAAATATAAGAAAAGAATTAATTACACTAGTGTGAGAAATCATCCAATTGATTGGTATAGTGAGTCTTGGTTTTGGTTTGCTGCTTAATCTAGCGTATTTTCTCATAATTTTGATTTCGTTGAAGTTCTCTGGCTAATATTGTAGCTGAGTTGATAATATTTGATAACCACTTGGTGAAATTGGCTAAGGGAATGAGAATGCCAGTCTAATAGCTTCAGAAAGTTTGAGCAGAAGGAAATAGGATTTCAAAAAACGAAAATAATTGTTAGATACTCAAGAATTCATGTCGTTTGATTCAACTTTCCTATATCTTGTGAGGAAATTAGATAGATGAATTGCTATTGTGGTATTTGATCAAGGTGAAAAAAACCTTATTTTGTACTCACCTACAATTAGATGATAATTCTTGGCTTACAACTTTTAGTGAATTTGTACATTCTTGTGTTTTTCTTATGCTTGATGCAAGTTAATTAGACTCCAAAGCAACCATCAAGCCTTTATCCCAATATATACAGTCAACAATATCGATCATACCTCACCATTGTTATCTCCTGTCATTGTCATTTTTGTAGTATACAGAAGATACTGATAGTAAGAAAAAGGATAAAACGCACTTTTTTCCCATAAAGTTTGGGACGTAGCGAGCTCGAGTCACCATGTATTTTCAATTGGCAAAAATAATCCCCTAACCACCCCAACCAACCCTCTCACCCCATGTTGTATTAAATTATTAACAACAAATACTAATCTAAAAGGTAAGTAAATGTGTCTTAAGCACTGGACTTGGTCTAATTGAGCGATCTTAATGATTGTCTAGTTATAATGTAAATGTTATTAGAAAAAGAACAATATAAGTACGGAATCATAATATGAGTTTTATTTATTTCTTCTCCGATTACATTATGTAACAAATTAAAATCTTGACTTTGTTACAAACTTTTATACTCCCTCATCCCATAAAACAGTCCAAATTGAGTTTTGAGATTTCTATGAAAATTTTTTGGGGATAGAGAGTAATAATGAAAAGATAAAGTTATTAAACAACAAAAAGATACTCCCTCCGTTGCAAAATTATTGTCCAGTTCAGATTTTTATTTTTAGTATAAATTGAACTAAAAGTGAAAACACAAACTGAAAAATAATTATGAGATAGAGGGAGTACTAGTTATACGTACATTAGAACTTAAAAAAATAAAAAAATAAATGAAATTAAAAAAATCTAATAAAATTGTTATTTTTCGCAATAGCTTAAAAAGATTTGTAATATGTATACAAGATTGGGAAAAAATATAACAAAAGAATTAATTACAATAGTATGAGAAATCATCCAATTGATTGGTGTAATGAGTCTTGGTTTTGGTTTGCTGTTTAATCTAGCGTATTTTCTCATAATTTTGATTTCGTTGAAGTCCTGGCTGATATTGTAGCTGAGTTGATAATATTTGATAACCACTTGGTGAAATTGGCCAAGGGAATGAGAATGCCAGTCTAATAGTTTCAGAAAGTTTGAGCAGAAGGAGATAGGATTTCAAAGAACAAAAATAATTGTTAGAAACTAAAGAGTTCATGTCACTTGATTCAATTTTCCTATATCTTGTGAGGAAATAAGATAGATGAATTGCTATTGTGGTATTTGATCAAGGTAAAAAAAAAAACCCTTAATTTCTACTCACCTACTTGGCTGATAACTTTTAGTGAATTTGTACATTCTTGTGTTTTTCTGATGCTTGATGCAAGTTAATTAGATTCCAAAGCAACCATCAAGCCTTTCTCCCAATATATATAGTCAACAATATTCATCATACCTAACCATTGAAATATCCTGTCATTGTCATTTTGGTAGTATACAGAAGATATTGATAGTAAGAAAAAGGACAAAACGCACTTTTGTTCCCCAAAGTTTGGATGGCAGTAAGCTCGAGTCACCATGTGTTTTCAATTGACAAAAATAATCCCCTAAAACATTTTTGTCATCAATTTTGTTGAATTTAACAGAATTTTTAAATACTTAACACTCAAATTTTTGTTTCCGCTAAGTATTTAATTTTTTTTATTAATTTCCTTATGAATGGTGGGGCCGGGGCTCACTAATTTGACCCAACAAAAAGAATCCTTTTTCTTTTTCATTTCTTTCTATTAAGATTTAATGATACTAGATTTGTTCTCTTCGCGCTACGCGCGACCAATTTGAGTCATGTCAATATTAATTCAATTCAAATGATTACATTGTAATAGGACTTAATGAAATTATAATAATAATTACTATATGACGCCGGAAACATGATTCATCAGCACCGCCATGTGTTTCCTGGACGACGGATTGCTTGCATTACCCAAAGTATTATCACCATTTTTTTCTTGGGCAACGGATCTACATCATCGCTACCATCGGGAACCAAAAAAAAAAGAAATCAGGATCAGTTCTTCTTTCCTTCGAGAGATTGGTCGTTGTCACCATTGCATAACAATTGGATTATGAAAAAGGGATTGGAAAAACGGAGGTGACAAAAGATTAGATTGACAGTTGGGGCGGGGAAAGATTTGTGGGGAAAGAAGGCATGGGGAGCGGCCAAAAACATTGGCAGTAAAAATGAGAAAAAAAAAATGACATTTTAATTGGTAACATCGGGTAGTAAACGTCGTCGTTTAGCCCGTTACATTAATTAGCTTATTTCTCTTGACTAATAACACATTTGGTTGCCAAAAAAGAAAAACAACTTTATTAATTGACTCTTGTAGCATTTTTTTAAATTGATGATGTCATGTTAATTTATTAACCAATCGAAGGGCTCAATTTAAAATTAATGATGTCATGTGAACTAATGGGCCATTCAGAATGCTTAATTTAATTTCTGACCAATCACGTTCAAGATTTTAAACTCACCAAAAAACATTTATTTATGTACAGATTTATCAAAAATAAAATCAAAAATCAAAAATCAAAAATCAAAATAATCAACAATGGCGGATCAGCAACCCCGCCGCCACCACCACCTCCCCACCTCCTCTGCCGCCGCCGTCACCTCCTTATTCAGGATCAAGAATATGGTTACAATAACTACATACTAGAGCTCTTTTGGCTCACGAAACAATTTCTATGTATACTATGTTACAATAACTACAAGGTACAACCTTTTTTTTTTTTTTTTTTCAGTTTTCCAAGTATCTCTCTCGCCGATAGCAAGAGTACAATTCTCCGTCCCTACAGTCAGCGCACTAATTAAACAGTAAGGGACTAACCAAATAGTTTGCTCCATTCACATGAGACGGAGATCGAACCCCTGATCTCATGCTTAAGGGACGAGGTGCTGAACCACCAAGCTACAACCTTTTTACACGTTCCCAGGAAATGTATTCGTAGCATCTCACTAAAAATTTAGAGAACTATATATGCAAGCAAGCAAAAAGATTTCCCTCATTATCACAGTGAGGACGACTAAGGCCATACAAGCACAGGATAGTGTGATGAAAAAGGCATAGTTTTCCTTCTTGTAATAATGTCAGAACTTTCTTACTCCCACAATTTTCAAAAGCAATAACTTACCTATTAGTTAAATTCAGTATTTTAAAAATTAGTGACATAGTTGTTTTTGTATTCATAATCCGATTGATTATATGTCGTGGCAAATGGTAAAGCACATGGGAAACAAATTAATATCGACAGTGTTTATCTCTCAATGTTAAGGATTCAAATTTTCAGTAGATTGAAATGTGCATATAAACAACATGTCGGGGCTGAGAGAGAAGATTGTTGAAATCTTCATTATATTTTATGATTTTGAAAGGGTAATAAAAAAATAAGGATAATTATGTCATTATAAAATTATACTGATTTTGTGAATTTTGACAAATAAACTACCACGCTTCATACAAAATATTTTAAGATCATATTGCTTTTATTAATTTCAACTATTCCACCACTCTTTAGCCAAATTTTACCATTAATAGTTTTGGTGTCTGTAACTTTGTATAAAAAAAAATATTAAGAAGCTCCACCGCCCTTTAAACAAATTTTCCTAATAATAATTAAATAAATGATTCAATATGAACAGCAACACAAAGTTTATAAGACATTGATTTTGAGGGATAATGCTATACGTACACAACCCATTTCATTTTATTAATTTGTATTGTACCATGTTATTTTCTTTCTCATTTCACCAGAATGAGTATACAGCTCTTTGTTTAGTTTTTTTTACAAAGTCATTTTTTTTTTTTTGGTGTTTGGACCTGTTTTTTTTTTCTTAATCAAAATTTTAGATATTTGGATCTAGCATCATTAAAAAGAAAGGTTTATAATTGAATATTTTTGTTTAAAATATCTGTGACGGGGTAAGACGAGAAATGAAGTTAAAAAGGTCATCAGCGTCATTTGCACCGCATGAAGATCACTCGGTTACACATATACATGTAAGGTGAAAACCACATGAAGATTTCACAAACCGAACTAACTCAAAATCAAGTAATAATCGTGCTAAGGGCAATCGACATTGGCCATAACCTCTTTAAATTTCTCTGGATTTTTTTTTTAATTTATTTTTCCCTTTGAAAAAACGCTTGTTTAATTAAGCTAAAAAGAAAATTTGGGTACGTCTTTTCTTCCCATACTTCTTACCTTTGTTTGTTGCCGATTAAGTTTACTAAACACTTGTCAAAAATGAACGTGGGATCACCGCTTCCTTTTTTGCGTCCTCATTATCAAACTTTACTGTTTTCTTTCGTCAGTCTCACCGATGCTTTCTAAGTAATAACCGAAATCTGAGTCATTACCAAAAATTTGCATTCGAATAATCCCATACTCCGAAAGAACCATAGCTCACATTCTTCTTCTCCTTCAGCCACTTCAGCTAAAATCTCAGAAAGATCTTCCTTTAGCTCCAATAAATTTAAGAAAGTTTGTTTACATTTTAGAAACCATGTCTAACAATCCTTCACCATCAATGTACGCGAATGCAAGCTCCTCACGACGAACAGAAACCCCTCGGAATACCCCTCAAAATTGGGTTATCCGGCGACAAAGATCCCGTCGGAACATGAACAAGGTCAGAGGAAGATTCAACTCTCGAGCTGGAATTTCATCAACTAGGATTAATGAACAAGGACCGATTGTTGCAACACGTTCTCCAATGTTAACTCAAGTTACCCCACCACCGCCGCCGCCACTTCCATCACAAGGAAGCTGCAGGTCAGTCCCATAAGCCCTTTATATGGTGTTATAGGTTTTGTGTTGGTTTGTAGTTTTTACCATTTTCATCGTTAATGTGATTGAAATTTAATATAATTTTGTGCTTAATGAACTCATGTTTGTACTGTCGTGTGATGTTAATTATGTTCTAGGATGTACGGAATGGTTCCGGATCATCAAATTTGTGCTGGATTGGGTTCGAATCCGTGGAATTCAAGCATTCACTTGTATTGGCAAAGGTTGATTTATGGCATTTATGTTTTGTTGTTTGATTAAATTCCTTGCAATTTAGTGAACTGGATTGGCCTTTGTTCTTTTTCCAAGTTAATTTTTCCCGTGGTTAATCAGAATCATTCCTTATTGTTCCTTTTCAAAGTTAATCTTCGCCCTGTTCAATTGTTTTTTTATTTTGGAAAGTCCGAACATATTCTATTTAAATTTTCATACCATTATTTAAATTTTGCTGGATGTCCAAAGCTGAACTTGCCCTGTTTAATTTTAGATATTTCTTTTATTCTAATTTACACCTCTGTTCTTACCACCTTTTCAATTTTCCAGGCGGCATTCCTGCAACAACTCTATTCCCAATGTAGTTGATTCAACAAGGTTGATGCCTAAATACAGGTATATGTTTTTCCAAAATATAAGAAATAAAAAAAATCATCAATTACATTCACATAATTAATTAATCTCATGAAATGAATTAATTATGAACAGGCCTGAAGGAAGTAGAACACCAATGATATTTGATTCGAATTGGAAAGGGCAGCCAAGTTCATCGCCTAATTTGGCAGTTCTGGCAGCGGTTTCTGATCAAGAAAATGAAACCAGGATTCAGCATCAAGGAAAGAGCCATGGGAGAGGTAATTACTCGTTATACCTTTTTGAACAACTAAAGCTTTGCTATTAAATTTATTTCAAAAAAAAAAAAAGCAAGAAAAGAAGAAGAAAGCTTTCTTTTTTCGTTGTCTCATTTACCATTACCATTTACAATTTTTATTTGATTGGTATTATGTGCCTCGATACACTTATACATACTCAGCAATTCTTTTTTCTTTTTTTTTTTAAGCACTTTATTGAACACTATGAAATAGAAGGAAAAAAACAATAGTACAAAGAATCATGGATTACACATATTAATGAGAGAGTAATAACCTTCTTTCAGCAATTAAGTTTTACAACATCAATTTATAAAAAATTGCACAGTCACGCCATTTTCATAATATTGATTTCGACGCTATCTTGTTTAAGAATTGAAATAATTTTATTACCATGTAAGTCTTCAATGCACTTCAAATGGAGATCTGTACGTAGGAACTAGTTTACCATATGTAAATAAGAGATTGTCTTTCAATGACACTTGTTTTACAAAATTTTTCATATCAATTTATAAATAAACGAAGTGTTGTACTGGGCTAATAGATTAATCTTTAGATCACGTAGGTTCACTTTTTTTTTTTTTTCCCTCTTCTAGAAAATGTTCATTTTAAAGCAACATCTTGGTTTAACAAATACTAACAAACAGGTAGAATTGGCCGTTTGGAAACTAGCTTGAAGGGAGAAAACGTTTTTGACCCCCAAGGATCTCAAGAAACGGTATCATTGCAGGGGGCGATAAACCGAGAAGTCGCGCATTTGATTCCAATGTATGAGAACTTCTTAGAGTCACTATTTGCGGTTGAAATTGAGTTTGATGAGAACGAAATACAAAAACGTGTTGAAGACTTAACGGCGTGCCTTCAAGCTCCTCAATCATTGGATAATCCCTTTGTAAATGGTCCCGATTTAGGGAAAAAAGAAAATAATAATACCGATGAAAACAAGAAGGAAGAAGAAATACAAGGCAGGAGGAACGATGTGGCAAGGCAAAAGAACGAGAGAACTGGGTTGGATTTGGTTTTAGATTCAGATTTGGATTTGAAATGTGACTTTGATAGCCTTGCCTATACTGATCGTTTTGGGTTTGAAATTTGATAACAATCATTGGGTTTTGTACTTGTAATAAATTTAATTTATAACTATAACGTGAAGAGAATCTTGATGATCTTATAAAGAGACTTGTTTATAATTATTATTTTCCTATTATTATTATTATTTACTTGGAAACTTGAACTAGTGTGTATATATATATATTATTATTATTATTTACTTGGAAACTTGAACTAGTGTGTATATATATATATATATATATATATATATAAAATAACCAAAAAGGCAAACAAGTAGGGCAAAAATTTGTACTAGCCTTGGAGTTATTTTTAGAAAAACTTCTTCCATCTTTAAAGCAGCGCAAAGGCAGAAACAAACAGGATGGAGAAAAGCATAGCTGAGAAACGTGAATACGTGAGAGAAGCTCTAAACACATCTTTATACCGTACATCCGATCAAAGGGGCCCGGAATATTGCCCATTCTTTCCCTTTTGGAATTCGCAAGGGACCAAAGCTGATGATAAGGACTATCTTGAATTCAAGAGGAGCTTTGAAGCTCTTACCAGTGGGCCTGATAATAAAGTCCGTTTCGGTCCCGAGTTTGTGATCCCTGATGATATCAATATCAACAAGGATACTTTGGCTAATAATTACCAAAACAAGAAAGTAGTAAAAGGGATGACCACTTTGGCTTTTCTTTTCAAACGTGGTGTTATTGTTGCTGCTGATCATCCACCTGGCGCTGTTCGACACCGTTGTTATTCCGCTAACTCGGCACATTCTCGCTACGATTTCCTGTGACGATATTTCCTGGGGAAAAACTTTGGTTTCCGAGCTGAAGAAGAAGTGCTATGTCGGAATCCCTGTCGAGGATGGGGCGAAGTTGATGTCGGAAACTCTGTTGCGTTCTTCTCATCAGGAAGAGGGTTTGTCATTAACAACAATGATCACAGGATTGGACAAAAAGGGTTGTAATTTGTATTGCGTGGATGGTAAGGGTGATTTGTGTAGGGGAGTGAAGTATGCGACTGGATCAGGTTGGGAAAGAGCTTTTGTGAATATGGATATGTATTATCTTGTTGATATGTCCGTGGAGCGAGCTACGGAAATTGGGAAACGAGCAATTTGCAGGGCTGGATATAAGGCTAAAGAAACTGGCGGATTCTCCTCCGGTTACTACATCGGACCTGATGGTTTTGAGGTAATCTTTGATAACTCGAACATTGAAGAAACGTTGAAAACTCAATTCCCTGACCAGTTATGGCAGGCGTGTCCCACTTTTTTAATTTGTTAGGATGCCTAATTTTGTCTAAGGCATTGATTGAATCCATATATTTTTTTATTCAGAAAAGTTGTACAAAGTCTCGAATATCTATTTAACGAGTTTAATTAGAATTTGAAGAGATGTCCAAGGGTAATATTATCTTCCGAAATGAGCTATACCCACATTGTCTAAAGTAATTTATAAGATTAAGTTTTCATTTCAAGACTAGACACTAACTAAATAATTGCAAATTCGTCCAAGCCCACTAGTTGTTGACTGTTGGATGTGATATACGTATTTGACTATATTGTAGTGAAAATTATTTCCTTCATCAGAATAATCATATTTTCCACCTAATATTTGAACAACTCTACAAATCAACATTCTTGGTTAGATGCAACCAGGTCTTTCAACATCCAAACTGAAGATAATTAATTTGGTAAGTACTTGGGTCTTCAATATCAATGATTAATTGAAGTAAGAAACCATGTTAAGAGGTTCAACACGTATCCGTCAACAACAGAAACATATGATCATCACCACCTCCGCCTATACCTGGTCCTGCATTACTAGCAGACCTTTGACAGTTCCTTTCGTCAGATAACATATTTATTGCAACTGAAACTCAGCAGTTGTACTTGAAGAATAATCTGAAATATAAAATAGTGAGGCTTATATCGAGAATGATGTAACAAAAATGATTTACAATAAACAACAAAAATAGGTCATGACTTATTTACTCACAGACTAGCTATATTCCTTAAGAAGATGTTTGTTTATGTTCCTTCGATTTGTACTATGTTACATGCTTTTCTCCATAAAATTAATGAAACTGGTCAATCAGATTTGTTTTGGAACTCTAACGATGATGTCAATGACCAAAGATCTGCAAAATGTGTCTTCTCTATGCTGATAGCCAAACCCATCAAAAGAAAAAGTGATAGGTTGCAAAAGTTGTCTTTGATTTGGAGAAAGAAAAAAGAACTCGGCGACGACGGTATCGAGGAAACCACTTCACTGCCATTTCTACATCAATATTAATTAACCAGTTTCTTGAGTTGATGGATCTGTTTAGATTAATCTAGAATCGATAACATGAACTCGAAGACACAGTAAAATTTGGATGAAAACTTCTTCTATTTCTGTGAAAATCAGTTAATTAAACTTTACAAGTATAGTTTAATAAAACCACATGTACAAGCAGGCCCCTGTTGACTATCAACCTATACAACCAAAAACAGAATACAACTATCTATCAATCTGTACAACAGAAACAACTATCTATCAGTAATATTTACACAATTTCCATTAGCATCAACGTTTAGCTAAAGATATTGCTTCAATAATTATTCTTTCAATGCCTTTGACTTATAAATCTAACTTGGAGTAATATATTAGAATCCAATTAATCTTCTTAATTATATTCATGGTTTTTTATTTTCTTGTGGACTTAATTCATGGCTTTCTAGATTATGGATGAAGCAATGGAGATATTAGCCATTCCAAATTTACCATGGATTTCAAGAAATTTAGATTTTGATGACCATTCGCATACATTCAGTAATTATTTTTTCTGTATAGTAAACAACCTAATTATCATGTGATGATTATTTTTATAAAATATTTTTTAATGAATTATTTTGGGACATGTTATAATGTTTCTCACTCCATGAACACATATTATGTTCTCAATTTTGATTGGCCGAATTTTAATTGGGACGGTTAAGTCTATAAAGGCAACATAACTCTAGAATTTCCCTGTATAACCGCTTATTGAACATGTTACTATGAGATAAAAGGAGAAAATGAGGTTAGCCACATACATATTGATGAGAGAGTAATGATATTGATTCAGCAGCTGATTAAGTTTAATAACATCAGAATAAAGGTAAAATCACCTAGTTACCTTATGATCCCTATCCTAAAATTATATATTATCCAGTTTTTTTTTTTATTTTATTTTAAGTCATACTAAAACTTAAAATCACCTAGTTATCTTATGATCCCCCCATCATACTAAAATCACCTAGTTATCTTATGATCCTCCATCCCAAAATGATATATTATTCAGTTTGAATTTTTATTTTTATTTTAAATCATACCAACAATAATTTTCGGCTGGAGAAGCGTAAAGTTTTACTGCAATCTTGTTTAAGTTTCTAGTGGAATAATTTTACCATGCAAGTTTTCAATAGAATTCAATTGAAGGTCAGCAGGTACAATTAACCATATGTAAATGAGAGATTGTCTTTTAATGACACTTATATTACAAAAATTTTTAAACTACCAATTTATTGACAAAGTGTTATACTGGTCTCTATATATACTAACTTAATCTTTCCATCAAGTAGGTCTTTATTTATTTTCTTTCTTTTCTAAAAAGGGTTTTAAACAAAATGTCGGTTAGCATTTCTCTACTAGTACTTAATTTTAGTTTCACAAGGGTTTTGTACGAGGGATTTTGTAAAGTAACTTACATAACAACAACATAGTTGACCTTTATATATCGACCTATATTTACTTATCTTTTTCTTGCATCCTTGCCTTTTTTTCAAATTCACTATTTGAAGTTGAAATTGGATTCGATGAGACTGTTCCCTCTCCTTCCCGTGGCATTAATCCCTCAGTGGATGGTCACAGTTCCAATAAAAGTGATAAAAATGCTGTCGAAAACAGGATTGAAGAAACAGAAGGCGCAACCAATGACACGGGAGCAGCAGTACCGGGGAAGGTGGGAACCGATCAGCTGGATGTGGAGGAAGAATGTGGTTTTGCAGGTTTGATTCCATATTTGGAAAATGATGACTTTGAAGATTTGATTAAATGGCCCGACGAGCAGTTCTTTTCCTATCCTGACCCATACGGGTTTGATAATATGTGATTGTAATTTTAATTTATGGGGCTAGAATAAATTTGTAATTCTTGTTGGAGACGGTCTAATGTTGTTCTGAATCTTAATCCTAGCAATGATTTTTTTTTTTTGGATGCATGTGTACTAAACAGATTTCTTAGATATTCTTGATATTTTACTAGGTGTTACCTGTGCTTTGGACAGGGCAGAAGCACAAGGCTTTTAAAATAAACAAATTGCAACAGCTTTAATGCAAAAACAATGAAGATGAAAAAATAATGTTGTTGAATTCAATGCATGCCTGATCACTTTCATGTTAGCATATTATTTTTATTTTACCATGTTCATATCTTCAATGTACTCACGCAAAACACAAATTTCAAAACTTCCTTATTCTTTTTGTGAGAGACGCCAATTTGTCAAAAGTCAAGAAAATTTTAATCAATAAAAAAGTATGCTAACAAATGTTATGTTCAAAAACTGATTAAAAGGAATCAATTAACTCATCACAAAGCTATCTCTAACACAGAATGTTTTAAAAGATAGTATCACCAACGCTTTAAAAGATATCACCATCATTGGAAGACACCATTAATTTCATACACATGCAGCTACATTAGTTTTATTCTCTTTTTCCCAACTTGAATGCAAAGTTCCCTGCTTTAATAAACTTTAATCTTAATTCATCATCATCCCCAATATGAAGAAAATACGGTATTCAATTCAAGCTGAACTTTCTAAAAAAAATCCAACAAAATCAATTCTCTTAATGTCAACATTAAAGTTCTGAACAAAAATAGAATTTTAACAATTTACTTCATGTCCACTCTTCCAGGAAAAATAAAGGTACTTGTTGAGAAGGTCACCACCATGCCTATTCTCTTCAATAGGCCAGATGGGCCATGAAGTAAGGCTAGCATCTACATCTCACACTCCATCAAGGTGAGGAGCTTCTTCCATGATCGTATCATCGGGAATTTCCTTGCATCTTTCCTTGATCCTGAACTAGTAAGATACCACATTGAGTTGGCATAAAATTTTCTTTCTTCTGTAATCATTGATGGGTTCAATGTCACTGTTAATAAATAGTCTTGCATTGAATTTAGAATTCTGGACATATCGTCTGCCTGTATGGGATGAAAATAATACCATCATATATCAATACAGAATTATAATATTATCTCAAATAATAATAAGTTATAAATCCATACACCACTACTTAGTCTAAAGAAAGTCATTATTCTTAAAGAATCCCCAAAAACAATATTTTCAGAGTTGCATTCTTGGAGTTCAGGTGAAATGATCATTTTAAACTATAAATACACATATTTTTTTCCACATGAAATAAAACGCTCACCCAAAATAAGTAAATATAAAAGTAGCCACCAGGGTTTGAAAATATAGTTCCAATTACAAAATTCATCCTTTTTCTTATTAGGAATAGCAGCAATACTACAACTTAGATTAAAATGCTACCCACTCCAGTAGTCAGCCATCTTTGAAGAAAAGCCATAAGTTATTTGTTACTACTAGAATAGTAAAAAACCATTTGTCTCATACAGCATTTGAGGAGGTGCATTCTTCCAAATAATGTGAGCAACATGAAATTATGAAACTACAAACATCGGCAAATATAAAACAATTCAACAAAACAGCCATATGTAAGAAAATTGATAATACAGTAAATCAAACTTTAAATATCTATAAAACTTACCATTGAATTATTTCGGTACGGCTTGTTCAAGAATCATTATTACACGACCATGATAATATACTTTTATGTAACGATGTTGTTGTAATATGATCCCTGGAAACATTGCAAAACCAGTTTCTATATATGAATCATTTAATATCCCAAAAAATAAAACCGTTAAAGTGTAGTTCTTAGGTGCGCACTTAAATTCATAGTTTTTCCACTAGCGGCTGTAGCGGTGAGGGGTATAGCACTTCCACCATCGGCACCAACATTCAAGATGAGATCTTCAACGACGGCTTGTAGCTAATAGGGAATTTTTTGGATGATGTGGGTTGTAGTTTGGATCAATGGTGGATATGTATTTATAGTAAATATTAAAAATTAAAACTCCGTACAATTGACTCCTAATAATAATTAAACTTTTAAGAATTTAATTTATACAGCTAGTGCCAGAAAAATATATTAACAAAACTACCTTATCCGATTAACTTGTAAAGTTTTTTTCTAAAAAAAGAAATAAATATTAAACTCGCATAACAAAATCACTATTATCCTAACAAAGTTTGTTAACAAAATATATATAATGTTTTTTTAAAAAAAATGGATAATTACATATTTTAAACAAAGATAAGTTATATATTTTAACTAGTGTAGTGTTTTTCTTTTGTCTTTTTAAATAAATAAAAAATTGGAGAAAATTGCTAGTCCTACATGGCAAATGGAAAACTATATCAATTTTCTCACTCTGAGTTTTCTATTATTAAGTTATATAGATATAGATATGTTTTTGGAAATGACGGAGTTTAGGTTTGGAACAGATTTTTTCCGTTTTAGATTAAAGACTATGAGCGAGATGAATTTCTTGGATGAACCCATTTCCCTATTTATTGGCATGACTTCTTCTTCTTCTTCTTCTTCTTTTTTCCCCTTCTTTTTCAGTTTGTTAGGGTTAAGGAACAAATTGAATTTTAATTAAGTAGACATTCCACATTTGATTGGAAGAGAAGTTCTTTTTATTTTCTTTTTTTTTTTCATTTGATTGGAAAATGATATAGTGACAAAATATAGTGAAAAAAATAGTTACTGACGTGGAGTATTATGACCTTCTTAATTTTGTGTCACTTTCCCCATTGAAATTTTTATTTCCACCAAAATTACATTTCTACCTTTAATCAATAAGTAAACATCTTTAGTTGAGGTGGTATAAAATTCGTTTCTGGGATGTCACAGAAGGCAAATTCTATGTATAATTTCATTATGGGTATCACTAAATATAGCTTTTTTTGACTTTGCATAACTTGTGAAAACACTAAAGACCTCTAAACTCTAAAATAATTATAAAAAATATGAACACTAACTAATGGTTTTGACAACCTGATAATGAAATTGAAGACAAATAATTCTTAACGAATCGATAATGGGTATGTGTCAATGTGATAATTATCACATGTGATAATTATCTAGTTAGTTGTGATATTATGTAGTTAGGATTATCTTATATTTGATATTATCTCATGTGTTTTTATCCTAGTTTAGGTTCTTCTATTTAATTCATGTAATAGTCTAGTGATCAATTGCTCAATTGAAGCCATTCCATTCTTTAAGTTGGTATCGAGCCAGCTTACAAAACCTATTTTCTTTTCCTTTTCTTCTCGTTCGGCCGCACCTTTAGTTGCCGCTGCCGACGATCTTCTCACTCTTCCCTTCTTTTCTTCTCCTTCCCGGTCCTTTCTTCTTGCATCTGCTGCTGTTCATTTACCATCCCTCATCACTCCATCACCAACATCCTTATCCACGCACAAACAAAACAAAAAAAAAAGTCTGATTATACTCCATTGGCCGCCGACTCTTCTTTCTCCTTTCCCGTCGACGCCGCCACCGTCAACAATATCAAACAACCTCTTCCCTAAAAAAATGAAAGAAAAAAGCTCTTCTCTCTTGGCCGTTCACCTTCTCTTTCTCTTTTTTGAAAACCCTCCTCCTTTCTTTTCTTCCGGACGGCCGTATTATTTCTCCTTTGCCGCTGCCGCCTTCTTCTTCTTGAGCCGTTCTTCTCCGCCGTCAAACTTCCTGCTCTAGCCTTCCCTTCTCTAGCAGCCGCTGACTCTTTCCCTTGGCCACCTGTTTTCTTTGTCGGGTTCTCCTTTCCTCTTGTTCCTAGCGTCGCTACCGCCGCCGGTCTTCTCCATCTTCCCCCACTCTTCTCTTGCCGCCGATCTTCTTTTCGGTCATACAAATAACCATCTTTTTCAGCATCATAAAACGGTATACAATCTACCTTCTCCCTCTTTTCTTCTTCGGCATGTCTTCCACAAACACAAACATCATGCATACTAGAAGCGACACATGAATAATAGCAAATTGAATTGCAGTTTACTTTGATTCCAAGAGAAAGATGAATCATTTATTTATGGAGTTCATCAATCTGAAACCACAACCATTGCGAGGCATGAGCGCTGAACTTTCCTATAGGGCTACAGTTCTGAAGAGATAGAAAGTAATCACATCGGTTACTTTCTGGAGGAATGGCAATGCCATTACCATTAGAAGTTGAGGTCTTTATTTTCTTCTTAAAATGTTCTTGAATGGGTGTTTGTTTCGGAAAAATCATTGGCCTGGATAAGGTCAACCAGCTCAGCAAAAATACCACGAGCACCATGGAGCTGCAAATTCTTCGCTAAAGTCTTGTTTGATAAACCAATTCAGCACTTAAGTTTATTCATTTAGTGCTTAATTGATTAACACAATATGATAATAACTTAATTGATTAAGAATTTAACTAATTAATGACTTAAATTTTAAGTGTGTCTAAAAAAAGTGATAGCCTATCACTTATATATCTGAATTGAATTCTTGAGACTATTTTTTTCCTATTTATTTAATTCTATATCTATACTTTAATGTTTTATCTTGAAATTTTTTTTATAAATCTTGATGTTTAGGTATAACATTAAAATTTTATATAAATTCCATGGTCCATATATGTTTATAATAAAATATGATATTTTTAAAAAACGACAAAGATATGGCATTATTATTAATTGGAAAAATGATTACACAATAAAATTTAAATATTTTTATTGCATAATTTTATAATCATACTATTTTTTCAGACATTTTATTCAGTGTTCAGATTTTGATATTTATCAAACAGGGCCTAAATTAGTCTATTAGGTGTTTCAGGTAGGAAAAGAGCCCTAAAAGTTAGAATTATGGATGTCCTGCGACCAAAGGCCCTTAGTTGTAACCAATGAAGCACATATTGAAGCAAAAAGGCAAGAAAATTATCAACAATCGGTGAATGTTTTGACTGTATAGTAAATACTCCTTAAAT